AATTCTACATTAATCTGCATCGACTCGTGCAAACAGACGGCAACAAGTGAGGAGGTGCTGGTGTCAGGGAAAGGAAGACAAGACAAAAGTGCGTTAAGCTGTATGAATATGAGAGTAAGAGGGGAGAAAGTCCGAACAATATTTAGAGGCTAAATTGTTGCCAGAGGGAGTAGATTTAATTCTGGGTCAGAGAGCAAAACTGCCATTGAATGAAGAGAGATGAAAGAGAGAGAGAGAGAGAATTTCATTTTCACTGAGCATCTTTAACTCTGTCATGGTGCTCGTCTCTTAGCAAAGAGGTGCCATGACAACAGCTACCAGCCGGGCTGGGAGACGCACCCCTGAGAGGGAGATGGAGGGATGGAGGGAGGGAAGAGAGGAAAGAGAGTAGAGGAAGGAAAGTGAGATTAAATAGGAAGGCAGAATTGATGAAACAGAAAAGAGGGGAGAGTGGAGGAGGCACCTAGAGTAGATGAAGACAAGGTCAATTACTTGAAGTTTCCCTCTGCTACTCCCTTTTTATTTATTTATTTTTAGTTTTTTCTGGAGTTTTCAGTGACCTGCCAGTCAGTGGAGAGCCCCGTCCTCTCTTCCAGAGAATCAGTACATTCATCCTAATGCTTCTATAAGCTCACCCTCGGGAGCCGGCCACAAAGATCTGCTCGGCGATTGGGCGCACGCTGAGGCTCAGCAGGGCGGGGTTAAACCTGCTGGGATGTTTCATATTCATACTCAGCGTGAATACATAATCAGTCCATCAGGTCACTGTTCTGTCAGGAGGAAGAGATTCTGACTTTGCCGGATAATTCTTATGTGATCTTGACTTGTTTTTTTTTTCGCCACGTGAAAGGAGCCTAAAAAAAACAAAACGATGAAAACTTCGTCATCGTCTTCTTCCACTTGAGGTGTGGTCGGATCCTGCTGACAGATGCTGGATTCAGTCAGAGCTGGCGATCTGGGCTCGCAGGTTTGCAGGGCAGACGATGACCTATGGCTGAGCGCGACGTGCCCTCTGGCCATCACCCCTGATCCCGCTCAGACCTGCCCACGCAACAGGCGGTGGGGCTGATTTCTGCAGAGGAGGGGGCTCCTCTCGCCACGTTACCGGCCTGCTCTCGCTGCCATGATCAAACAAAACAAGAATAAAAATGTCTCCTGGGTAAGTGAGGTGTGTTGGTGGAGTTTTCTCCTCTTTTCTTGAACTACTTCCTTCTTCACGTGTGGCTTTTACTATATATGCTGTGGTCTTTTCCAAACAACTGGAAGCCATGTAACATTTCACTATTGATAAGATTTTCTGGTTTAACAGATTATGTAGAGACTATTACAATATATTCCCATTTGTTTTTGATGCTCCTGTGCCCAGTGGCTATTCCAAAGAGAGGCTTAGAGATTTAGGTATTATATAACTACAAGCTACTACATGCCCACTTTATGAAATCTGGTTATCAGTCAACTCTGCCTGTGTTAGAAGAAATGTGACTGATGTTGATTATATGAATTATAGACAACTCAAGGCTGAATCTCCAAGAAAATGCATAGCTGTTTGATTATAATCATAACAATAACAGGAGGTAAACTGATATTTTTGTAATGTTGTTGCAGGTTTTTTCAACGTGTCTGAGTTTGATATCTGATTCTTTGCCAGTGCAGACGGATCAGGAGAGATTAGAGTGAGAGTGGCTTTGCGAGGATGAAATCAGCTACTTGGGGAAAGAGGGGGGTGGGGCAGGGAGGAGAGGATGTGATGGAGTTGTGGTTTACTACAGAATCTACTTTCTGTCTGTCTGTGGACGTTCTTTGACTCTGCAGTCGCATGACCCCCAGCCAGTCAGCTGAGCCTCTGTTATGTAATCTATTAACTTGAGTTACTGTACGTCAGGTGCAAGTGACACTGTCATGGTGTGATGAACCTGAGGCTAAATCCTCCTCCATATACACCATATGTTGTGCTCTCCTAAACAGGCATTCATGTTTGACACGACGATAACTTTGCATTTTTGTCCGGTATATTGTACATGTGCACGTGTGCATAAATAGAGATGTACTTATGTGTTTTCCTCCGGAGGGAAACACTGCTCCACTTTTGCTCAACCCACCCATATGGCGCATATGTCACACTGCTGCTCTCTGCAGCCCAGCTCTGTGTCCTCATAATGAACCTGATCATTCCTGCACACATAGAGCTGGAAAGTTGAGTTCTTCAGTTCCTGCTAAAATAATGTCACAGTGCTGCCTCTCAGACTTTATCTCATTAATGTAGCTTGCTGACTAAGTACTTCATTTTTTTCACACAGTAGTTTTTTTGGTCTTTGTGGGATGTTCAAGGTAAACCTTTACCAGGAAAAGTTGATGTTAAACAAAGTGTTAGCCTGTGATGTTGTTGTGGTGTGTCAAGGCCCTGGATGAGTAAGAATTTGTTAGTAGAGATTTACCAGCTGAGGGCTTCAAATGTAACACAGTTTACCTTTTTTTAAATAAAAAATGGAGCATAAATGTGTTCACCAAATGACAGTTTACTCATGATGAGAGTTTTTATGTGTTATGTTGACCTGCGGGTGGCGTTATAGAAGAGATTGTGTCCAAAATGGAAAAGAGGTTAATCCTCTGGGGAGCCCGAATGTGAGTTTCATTGCAATTTGCATTGAATTTTAAAATATTTCTTGTGTGCAAATGGAAATTTGGCTTGATGATGGTGCTAGTGGCAAGGTCAGGGGGTCATCAGAACATTGTCACTGGTAGAGTTCGGCCCACTGCATTGTTCTCATGCCAGGCTCCGCAAACTTATGTGTCGATGATTGACATGTTGGTCCTTCGTACCCCGACCCAGCCTCTTCCAACACTTCCAAAAACACTTGCAAAATATTTTTAAAGAGGAGAAGCATTGTGCTCTACAATGGAGATATGCATTGTAACAAAAGGAATGTCAACAAAGGCTCCAATGGCAGCCTTCACGCATTGCTATGGATTTGTTCACAGCCTCCACTACAATATAGTTGTTATTATTATTACAGTGTCGGAGAGCAATGAAAACTCCCTCAAGGAGGAGAGTGCTACTCGTAGTATGTGCGCTTTGCTGCGAACAGATTGGGTTAACTAAATCCTTAGGAATCATCCTACCGGGACATTGAATATCCATGCCAGATATCATGATAATGTGGATGGACAGTTACACCAAACCTGTGTTTACAGTTGCAGAAAATGCAGATTTATGCAATGCAGTTGCATCGCCTCTGCAGTGCACTTATCCCAGGTATCTATTTGCCTATCCAATAAGCCTAATGACTTTGAGGGCCACATTCATAATCACAGGGGTGGGCAGTGCCAGTCGGATTAGGACTCCAGATGGTGCTGTTACTGCCTGACTGTCTGTCTGGACGTACAGCTGCGAGAGGTCACATGTTTTACTACAGCGGTCAGCTCTGCCACTGCAGCCCAGCGGCTCAGCATCACATAGACTCATCAGTAGCACTAACGCTAACTGTCACAGCACCAAGAAAACTGTTGACAAGAGTGTTTCCGGAGTTTTAAGGTATGTTTGCGTATGTGACGTGTGTTTCCGTCCGCTTTTTATAACACCATGTAGTAGAGTTGACCGTGCAACAGATGTCACACTATCAAATTAAAGCTTAATGCCCGGCCAGCTGAAGAAAAACACTTCAGAGCTAACCATGACACCGCTGAGCTTAAACACTCAACTGTGTGTGTGTGTGTGTGTGTGTGTGTGTGTTCGCTCTTGCACCAGTCAGCGTGTGTGTGTGATCTGCCCGAGAGACTCTTCACTCCACATGAGGCATGACACTTGCTGTTGGAAGAGCTCTTCAGGATGACCACATCTCATTTCCCCTCTTCTACATATCACTCTGGCAGTGACACCGGCTGTATTTAAGAGCAGTTTGCCAGGTAGCACAGCAGTCAGTGTTATCCCATTTTTGACTGAGGCAGAGAGGTTGGGTTTCTTTTTTTCTTTTTTTTTATGTCAGGCGTCAGCTGCTTGCACCCCTGGGTCATGGTACTCTGAACAAAAACCAGGGGATTTGCATAATTCATTACAGTCGCTGTGGAACGGAGAGGCGACACAGGTGTCCCAGGCATTGTGGGAGAACGAGCATGTCTAAGAAGCCAAAGGTAAAAAAACAACAACACTGTTCTTGTTTTTGTGTAAATCAGCAGCTTACTTCTCTGTCCAGGGCTTGTACTATTAGTTGTAGCGCTGGCTTGTTTTCTGAGTGCTTTTGTCCGTGTTTGTGGAGTCTTCTGCTGTGTGCAGTTCTGTTTGTGACGACATCAAGAGTGTCACAGTCGATAACCTGTCTGTGAGGTCTGTTTACATAGGCCTATACTGTCCGAAACACATCTAGTATAAGTAGAGCTTAGTTTTTAATCGTGGATTCATTTTAGTCCTGTAGAGAGGCATCGATGCTCGCAGGGCTTTTCTGTAGGTGAAAGACAATCTGCAGGGTCATCTTTCTCTTTCCATGTGTGGATAACTCCAACAGGTCTAGTCTAGACTTGGTGCATGCGGCTAAATCCTATCTTTAAAAAACTGGTTTAGATAACTTGGAGCAGGATGATATAATCTTTTCCATTTTACACAATGTAGGTCAGTGTTTCCGAACCTATTCGCCCGTGATCCTTTGAAATTAAGCAATGTCTGCTTGTGAATTGTTCAACGAAATGTATTTTTTTGCTTTTACTTGTTTTATTTCAAACATTTTTAAAGGTACACTGAAGTTTTATTACATTTACATTCAGTGTCACTATGTATTTGTTAATCCCCGACAAATGCTTTCAGTGCCTTTCCTTATCATAAAATACAGTTTTTTAATATTTTTAATCGTGCACTGTTTACAACCATGTTTAGTAGCCAGCATGTTTATTATTTACTGCCTTTGTTGGTGCATTACCACATTTATTAATGTGTAACTGCCAGCAACTGAGAAACAGGTAGCAGGAATATGTATTGTGTGCATGTGTGTCCTCATGTGGATGCGTGATAACCTGAATGAGGATCCACTTGTAAAAACATTGCTCCACAGTGCCATTAGGGGGTCAAAAATTCCACAGGGAACCTTTAAGAGGTCAGATAATCCAGTAATTCACAAGAGAAAAAGCAGAGATTAGAGGAAAGTGCAAAAATAAAGCCCCGGGTATGCAACCACTGCCGTTGAGCATAGTCTCCTTTTCATATTACCTTCATACTGCGACATCCTCCAAGGTATAAAGAACAGTTTCCGACCATGTTTCAGTCGGTCGATTCTTCTACTCTAAATCCTGGATTGGTTCAAAGGCCGAAGCAGATTTAAATCTCCTTACTGAGAGAAGCAATCATTACAAAGTGAGTCAGGGGATCAAGTGGACACAAGCAATCACCCCTGTGGGTGTTATTGTGCACAGCGTGGATTGTTCCCTCCCTCCTGTAGAGATGTACAGTACACAGAGGAGCGTGTGACGTCACGGCAGATGATTGTCTCCCGCTGAAACTGCTCAAACAGTCGGACTGTGTTTAAATTAGGAGCCCATCAGCAACGTCAGATCATAAGAGCAGCACACAAAAGTGGCTTTGTTCGTCCAAAAGTGCACAACAAACACACAATATACTGTATGTAGTCTGTGTTACTACAAGTTGTACGGGTCATGATTTGTTCAGAAGCTTGGGTCTAATAAAGGAACTTTTAGTGTATTAATCTGACTGCAACATATAGTAGATGATGGGTAGGTCTTAAAAATCTGGAAAACTTTAGGGAAAGTGTTTTTAGGAAATTCAGGCTAACCTGCTAACTTGTTATTGTTTAGTAATTCATTTAGTGTGAATGATGGTGCATAATTAGCAGCTCATTTGAGCTTCCTTCCCATTTTTATCTTTTCTATTACTGGAAGCATTTCCTGAGCTGTGAACATTGTAAGAGGGACTTCCTTTACTGTAAACTGCAGTGATCAAAGGAAGCAAGAAACAACATTTTTTGGGTCTGTGGGGACAAAACGTTTGGGTCTAAATGGGCTCTGACTGATTCCTATTTAAAAATCTTTTTTTGTTGACAATAGAAAAAATTATGATCCTTAGGGAGAAGTCTGTTAAAGTAGACTACTATACAGTTTATATGAAAAGACCAACAAT